GAATCACTGTTGTATAAAGGCTTGATAAAATATTATCCTTGATTGGCTTAGTAAAGGTTGGAATAATATAAGATTTTTCACAAACTATTATTCGAAATTCATGTTTGTTTGTATCTAGAATTCCTTGAACTTTTCGAATCTATGACATTCCTAAACAAAGAAGGTAATTAGGTTTTCCATCATCAATAACAACATGTCCTGTTTTAGTAACCCATTTATTTTTATATTTTATAGATATTGGTATATCCTTATGTCCTCCTTCTAATTTCGTTATATAATCAGAATTATGTCTAAGGAAAAAATTTGGTGCCATTCTAAGATTCCATCCTAATGCCTCATTTAGTGCTTTATTCATAACAAGACATCCCGATGCTGTATCAACAAACCCATCTGGAATAATTATATCTTCAATTCTACACTATATATATTCAAGTGATTCAGCCCATTTATTTTTAGTAGATGAGTCAATAATTTTTTTTCGCATTGCTGGAGATAATAATTCTAATAACTGGTCATCCGATTCTGAAAAAAGGTTTGGCATAGTGACTTTTTCATTTTGTTTAGATTCTGTAACTAAAGATTTGCATGAAATTACTGATTTATTCTGTGATGTCTTACTTATTGTTGGTGATATCCATTTTTTTTCTAAATAGAATGAAGGGGCATACCATTGATTATCTTTCTCATTATACTCACCTTCATCCTCCTCGCTATCTGAATTAGGAGATGTATATTGGGGATATATTGGCTTGAGAGATGTAAAATATGATCAAGTATAATTAGATTGAACTGTAGGTTGATTGGGGCATTTGCCCTTGCTATGGCCTGTTTCTCCACAAATTCTATATTTCTTTATATACACTTTTTTCTGTAATTGGTTTGCTAACTAATTTATAGTATTTTGAGTTTCATTAAACCTTTCTTCTATTCTATCTATTCTAACAGATTGGTTGGATCTTTGTGGTTTTTTAAATAAGGCTTTTGCTTGCTCGAGGTATTTAAGGTAATCTGGATAGGTAAGTGGATCCATATTATTACCTTCTTGATCTACTATATAAAATGCTTGCTGAGGTTTTTCTGATTTTATAGGGTAAA